TTAAATATTTTTTTTTTCCTTATTTCATTGAAAATTTTAGCGTTTTAAGATAAGTTACTTAATTACGTTTCAGCTAAGTTTAATTACGTAAAAAATGAACTTAAACATTCAGCGGCGCAACATAACACACACAAATATAAAATATGCTTAACAAATTTACAATATTACAACAACATTATAAAGAGCTAAACTTAACACATCACAATAAGTAGCTAACACTACAAGCTTAGGAAGTAGTATAGCAAAGGCCTGCACTAAAACTATGCTGCTTACCAAGCTAAGGCTTACAAAACAAATTTGAACTTAGGATTGCAAAGTGGTACGATACGCGGTACCGCAGTGAACTTGCGATTCTCCTTTACTAATAAGCTAACTAATAGCTAAACCTAAACTAGTTGAATTATTACATTATATTTTATATAACTTAGCGGCTATTTCGAGTGGTTACCCAGTGGGAAAGTCTAGTATGTATGTGTGTGTATACGTATATGCCAAGATAGAGCTTAACAGGGAAAAAAAAGTTAATACTCTTCACAAACAAATACGTTTCCATACAAGAACGGGATTTTGAACGATCAGTTTTTATGGCAGCTATGTGCTATAGTGGTCCGATCTGGACAGTTGGTTCATAGGTTGCATCGTTGTTTTGAACAATAATCTATACCAAATGTCGTGACAATCTCTTGTGAAATAAAAAAGTTTTCCATACAAGCAATTGATATTGATTGATCAGTTTGTATGGCAGCTATATGCTATAGTGGTCTAATCTGAATATTTTCTCCAAAAATCATAGCATTGCTCTAGACAACAGTTCATGCAAAATTTTGTGAAGATATCTAAACAAATGAAAAAGCTTTCCATACAAGAACGTGATTTTGAACGATCAGTTTGTATGGCAGCTATATGCTATAGTGATCCTATAATAGCGATTCTCACAAATCAGGAAACATTTGGGGGGAGAAATGCTTGTGCAAAATTTCATTCCGATATTTCAAAAACCACAGGATTAATCCCTGTATTCAACAAGTTCATATGTAGAACTTACGAGAGGCGCCTGGTGGTATACTATGAATAAAGGAAAATACAAAATTTTCCGCAAAATATTTGTCTTATTAGCGATAACACAATCTAACACAATAGATAATAGTCTTAACGCATTTGAGTGGCATTCTTCAGTAATAATTGTTACCGTTATCTCAACAAATAGCCTATAAACAGATGCATATATATATAAATGTCGGTGGAGCACATACGGTGATAAGCGCAAAAAAAAAAAAAATTAAAAACGCTAATTATTTATAAAAAAAAATTTTAACACATATACTAGATTTCACATAGTTTCCCCACAAGGTATACCAAGCGCCTAAATGTAGGCAACACATACCGTTAACTATCCTGCATATTAATAACTACATTCATGTACATATATTTAGCAATATTTCAATGGCGGAGGCTTACGTCTTTTAGCGCTTAACTGTTATATAGTATATATTTATATGTAAACACATACTCACTTATATACTATTTATGCGGTTGTAGGTGTATTTGTATATATTTTACAAGCGAAATAGTGCGATTTTCATTTTGGCATTCGTTAAAGCTCACTTACGAGTGAATTCAACCAGAGGCCAGAAGTTGCACATAATTGAATACAAATAGTTGTAGTTGTAGTTGCAAATGCATATTGCAACACTGTCTTAGTTAATTGCACGCCATTGTCGCTCACGTTATGGAGCGGAGTAACCTCGTTGGCCGCGCAATCAGTAGTATGTGGTGGGCTCTCGCGAATCGAGTAGTTCTTTGCTGCAACGACGACCCATTGTGATCCGCAGTGTTTGGTAGGGCAGCGGTCTGCCCTCTTTGAGATTCGCCGTTACATAGATGAGGTATGTTTCACCTGGTGTCAGATTGAATATGGTGTGCGTTTCGAGTGGCGAACTGTAATGATATGTGTTTGGAGGATTAGTTAATTTGCGATTGCTGAAATGTCTACGGTTTTCAATTATATAAACTCTAATATTTAAGAAATAATAATAGATAGGGAAAATAGGTGCATTTTTTTTAGCACAAAATGGCTAAAATACTCCACGCAATAATAGCTACTAAGCATGATTTTTTCGGATGAATATATTCCCAATGATTGGAGTATGAGTTATTATATACAAAAAGGGAGTTCGCGGAGACTGCCCAAATTATCGCGAGATCCATCCTCCTAACATTGCATATAAGGTTTTTGATCAATATTGCGTGGAGTACTTAAGCCATTGTAAATAAACTAATTGGACCTTAACGGTGTGGCTGTAAAGCTGGAAAATCTACAAACGAACAGATTTTCACCATGCGCCAAATCTTGAAAAAGACCCGTGAAAGGAAGATCGACACACACAACATCTTCGTCGATTTTAAAGCACAAAAAGGAGCTGCCTTTCGGTATGTCTGAATTGGGTATCCCTGTAAATAATACGCCTGTATAAGCTGACGTTGAGCAATACGAACATATCCGTCAGGCTCGGAAAACACGTCTACAAGTCGTTCGATACCACATGTAGTTTGAGACAATTCGACTTCCTATCGTGTGATTTATTCAATCTACTCCTGAAGAAAATAATTCTAGCTGCAGGTCTGAATAGAAAAGGTACACCAATGTCTGAAAATATTGGTCGCAGTACCCGCCGAGGGAAGCAAAGGAAGAGAAAGACCTCCACTTCAATGGAGAGATCAGGTGGAGAAAGACCGGGCTACACTTGGTATCTGAAATATGTAGAATGACGTTGAACACAATTGTTAGCTCTGTTAAAACAGGATAGTCCTTTCCGAGGCGTTCGATACCAGCCGATGTTTCAGACAGAGTGATTCCTTCTACAAAATACCTGGATAAAACAGCGGAGAGTCCTTAGGTATGGAGATTCCGACTGGTGGTAGAGCTTCTTAGAGAGAAAATGACATGTGCAAAATTTCAGATCGATATCTCAAAACTGATGCACTAATTCGCGCATAAATAAAATTTTCTCTGTTAATTCCGAAAAAGTTTGACTTAAGGAGGCAACAAATTTTCAAGTGTCTCAAGTTGTGTTAGTCACTTTCGTAAATTATCTACAAGTACACATAAAATATGGAAAAAACTCACCTCTTAGTACGTTCGACACATTTAATGGATTGAAATAGCGGATGCTGTACCACGCGCCTTCCAAAGTCGAGACAGTAGTTCGTGTAATCGATGGAACTCCGATTACGCTGCGGCAAATTGAACACAATTATGCAGTACCTGAACGCCACAAACACACGTGCAATTAACACAGTCATCGACGGTTGTAGGCATCCACAAAGCCGAACACATACGATACGACCCACACCAAGGTCCACACACAGCGAACGCAATGCGTATATTACCGCAACAGAAACACGTATTTCGTAAAGCATTATGGCTTAAACAGGCCACAGCAACCGCAGTACAAATTCATGCAGCACGAAGGGGCATATGTGGCAAGTTGCATATCGTAGTCGAGACCGCAGCGTAGATTGAGATGCGCATTCCAATTATGTGGTTTTCATTGTTGATGACGTTGCAAATGTAATAAAGAAACAAATACGGTTGGGTTTAAGTATTAGTTAAGTATTAGTCGCTAGTATACACACCTTATTGTTCGACTATCCGGCGAACTGTACCATGCAATGGTGGCTAAGGAGCAGCGTGTGCTCACATCGAAGACTGTAATGTCAGCCGGCAACTCTGGCAGGTGCTGAAAGATGCCGGTTGTCGTGACAGCCAGCTATTTGGTAAGCGTTAGAATATCTTAGACATTAGTGCAATACAAATCTGTGGCCACTTACTCCCACTTTGTGTGCGCGCAGCGTCTCGTCTTCGTTGCTGGGCGTGAAACGCGCTATGTAACGCTGACCCTTGTGCACCTCTGATAAACGTATATATGTGGGCCTATATATACCGGTCGCATTTCCCATGAGCGTGCGATTGCGCAGAATTTTTATATCGATTTCGCTGCCGCCGCACGGCACAATGAGATAACGCAGCTGCAGCGCTGTTGTTGGCAGCATGGTTTCTCTTCCAGGAACCTGCGAAATGAATTAATTTTACATTTTGTTTGTGAAGTCTTTGAAAAAAAAAAAAATACATTTGTAAATATACAAAATCGATCATAATTAGTTAGGGAATATATTTTGAGATACCACAGTTCTAATTTGGCAGACAATGTCACTTGACAATGACAATGACATACTAAAGAAACTCCTCAGATGGTTTTGCGTTTGCTTCGTTCAGTATTGCTTGAGCTCGCGTTAAAGGTGGACATCATCAAATAGAAAAAGTCCGCCATATACTACAGTGTTTCTGCGATAAAACGGAAAGCAGACGGCTGAGAATATGAATAGGTCTTATGTTCTTGACACCTCAATAGCCAATGACTTACAATTTTGCCCTAGTCAATTCCACGCCTGAAATCTTTACGTGCAACATGCATCATGATCTAGTAGTCCAATGGTCGAAAAAAACCGTATCGAGTTCGCCGTGTCCGACTGTGTCGATTTTCATAAACTTTGCTGAAGAATCCCTTTGGAGTCACTTAAAAAGTCTCGACAGAGAAAGGAGATCGATGAATAGCCGTCAAGCGAAAAACCTCAAGGTTTCAATTTTCAACTGCGAATCGTTGCTCATTCATAACAGCATAAATTCATTTTTGAAGTGGGCCGCTCACAACAAGGTCTAGCGAAAATGGTCGTGTTCGAATACCGGTGAGCCGAAGCAAACGGTAGTACACGCTAATAGACGGTCAGAAAGGTTTTACAAGTTATTTGATGGGATTGGCATAGAATCAGCTATTATGAGTACCTCAACAGTCTGATCTACTTAACCGGAACGGACTCGAATTTTTATTCGACCAAAAACTCTCAACTCGGCAGATTGCTGCCGCTACATCGACAACAAAAGCAGCTCTTCTACATCCCAACTCTTAATTTGCCAGAAACTCCGACAGCTTAGTTGAAAGGTTTTCATGTATCCACCGCATAGACCGAACTTAGTATTACGTGATTTTCATTGCTTTTGCAAGCAAGAGGGAATCGTTCCCGAATAAAAGTGCACTTCCTCAAATTTCCCCACTACAAATTTCCCTACTACAATTTCGTTGTCCCCCACGGGAAAATAGCTGGGGTTCGACATAGATACTAAACTGAACTGGAAAATTAATATCTAAAAATTTATTACAAAATCTGATATGAGTACTATAAGAATTAAGTATATTGGTGGTTGAAAAGAAAGAGTTGTGGACGTAGCGAGCTTCAGAGCCAGATCAAAACTGATCTATTAAATCAGACAATATTATCAAAAAGTTGAATTTCAATAGTTGATTAAAGAACGGAACTAGACTTGAATGAAGAAGAAGTTTGGTATAGGAGGAAGATACTACCTCAATGTATGCCATTGGATTCAAAATGAACTGCTTTATAGGGGCAAGTGTTCAGTTCGAGAAACTTGAAATGGCTTTCGCCTACTAAGCTCAGCTAGTATCTAGTATCTTTCAAGTGAAGATCTGTGCAGTTCTACAGTTAGTCAGGCAGTACTGCTAGCCTTTTCAAGGCAACAGATCGGGGTTGTAAAGAAATGTGGTCAACTCTCTTGTTTCTTGGTCATAGGGATACTTTTGGAAACGAAAATACCCTCGGGAGCCTCGCTAAACGAGACCGAGACATAGATATTGCCGCGACCGCTAGAAACAATCAAGAGAGAACTCAATACACAATTTGAACATGTGGTTATCTATATACATAAATAAAAATGAATCGCCAAAATGTATGTACGCTCATAACTTTCATACGAAACCCCTAAAAATGGCCCTCTCTTTTTCCCATACAAACGAACGAATGTTTGTGAATGATGAAATTTTCAGAGGTTATTCGTTGTGGAGGGGGGATTTCAAAATAAAAGTACCTTATACTTTTCATGAGGAAAATTCTTAAAATTGGATAATAATAAAAAAAATTAACTCTTTTCCACACAAATTTTTTTTTTAATTTTTGTTTGTTTTGTTTATGATTTATGTTTGTTTGATTTATGAATTATTTGAATCGTTCAATTTCGGTCGCTTGCTTTTTTATTCCGGCAATTCAAAAGAAAAATTATTGAAAATTATTCACTGAAAACTTTACATATGTGGGTTTTACGCAAAATGATCAATTGCAGATTGAAATTTGTTACGAAGCCACGAAGAGGTCGTCCTAATATCGGTCCGCGTTTGTTTTTTTTTTTTGCGAGCAACGTATGGCAGGCCAAGGCAAGACAAAGCGAGAAGCACCCCCAGGATGCGATATTGAGCAATGGATGGAAATATAAATATAACCACATATAGGCTGCTATCCTGAGCCGTGTCCAGATGCGACTAAATTATGCCAAGAGAAGAACTAAGGACTTATTACCTACATAAGACCACGAAAAGTATATACAAACCTACAACTGACATAACGAGACATGGATATTTGGGGAACAAGCCTTAAAAATGAGAATACCCTACAATAACACTTGCAGCAGCAGCAAACTTGAATGGAGTAAAGAAGCTGTTCTAGTTATTCTTCATCTGTTAGAGTCTATCTCTATCACAAAGCAGACATCGAGCTCATGGAATCCAGGAGGTATCAAACCTTGAATGTGTATCTGAAATCAGACATCGAGCTCATGGAATCCAGCAGATACAAAAACCTTCAATATCAAGCACTGAAAGGCATAATGGAAATAAGTAGTTTCATTAGGGACATAGTTTGAACACAACAATGAAGCAAGATATCCAAATATAAAGGTCTCAAATGACGAAGGACCAACCTACTCTTTCTCTAAAAATCAATTTCCTTCTAGACATTTCCTTGTGACTAGTACTTACCTTAAAACTGAAGACCTGCACGCCATTTAGCCCCGATATTTTCCGCATGGTTATCATATTGTCGCTCAGCGCAACCGGATGCGTCCGATTATAATCCACTTGTGTCGAGGCAATATGAAAGGTGAGATTCTGGCGGCGTGTATGCACACCAAATATATCCAAGTAATATGTGAGATTCGGTAGCACACCGCGCAGCAGCTGTTGCGTATGAGCGCCAGTACAGATAATGTTGACGTTGCGTACATCTGGCGRCAGTGAGAAATACATACATACGAATATATGGTTGATGAGATATGTCCACAATGCAATTACAAGTGACCGCAACGTTGTGTGGTAGGTAACTCACCAATTTTCTTAGCACGCTCCGGTGGTCTTAACCATATGTGATCCACCAACGAGCCGGGATAGCAGTTGGCTGGCCCAGCAACAGTTTCACGCGCCGTCGCACCCGAGAAGTATTCATTGACGGCGTTGCAGAAATTCAATTGGCGCCGCTGTGTGTTCACCACCAGGCAGTAATGCACCGCATGGAAATCAAATTTACTGCAACGCAATGTGAGCGCGCCCAGCCGAACGAAGAAAGTCAATCAGTGATCAATGCATATTTTACAGTTAAAGCGTTGCCTATGTAAATATGTAAGTATGAGAGCTAGTGTGTTGCACTCACCTCTTGTCCCACTTGACTATCATTTGACGATTGCGCACCAGATTCTGTGTGCGTATGCGTATGTGATGCGTGCGATTGAGCAGTGGCCAACCGGACTGGGGATGTGCTGCATGCGCCTCGATTTTGATGGAGCCGCGCTGACGGGCCTGCACGAAGATGTCGTAGTGGCCGCGCAATGCACAGGGCAACACCACCGTGCGTTGATCCGATTTCAGTGAACGCGATAAATTTACTGCCGACGGAAGTCAAAATGAAGCGTTGAATGCATGATAAACCAGAGGAGACGAGCATTGCCAGGCAAAGATTAATGCAAATGCGCACGTCAAAGTGATGAAAATACGGTTAAATTGCATGAATGCGGAGTTGCAGTTGTGAACGGTGGGAAATGTAGAATATATGCGTAATGTGTAATGGGAAATTAACGGTAGTTTGGCAGCAAGGCATGAAAATTAAAGCAAACTACATTTGTGTGCAAATGAACGCCATGGCGTATGAGTAACTTAACTTGCTGGCAAACTAACCGAAAGTACCTGATTGTGCTACTCACTTGTTTGATTGAAGTAAAGCTTGCGCACGACCTGCTGCGAAAAAGTGATGGTTAATGGCGCTGAGGTGTTGATATTGAGCAAGAATCTGCAAAAAGAGGAGTAAAAAATTGTTATTATAAAAAAATATATGTAAGAGTATATGTAAGAAATGATATATCGTCACCTAAAAATGCAAAGTAATGTATCACAAAAAATCGAAATTAAGTTCTTTACTGCTTTTTCACTACATCATATTACATATATGTATGTAGCAAAATATTTTCAGTTTCCGCTGTCAGATATACCAAATATATGACCAAAAAGGAGCGGTCTCTTATCGGAGGCTTTTGTTTCCTTTTCATTGGTGATGTTTTATACGTGGCGGTTCCTAAACCCAGCGCACAACCAGGCGGAGGGGACGTTTCACCTTCTCTCTTTAGCTCGCCTTCAAACGGATGTTCTTTGGTTATCCTGAGAATACTTGGTCTAAGACCAGAGGCCTTGAGCTGTAAGTGTAGTAAAACGGAAATCAATTTATTTTATTCCAAGTACATGAAGTCTCCTTCTGCTTCAATAGAGCTTTTTGCACGGTCAAAAAGCATGTCGAATGAGTGTTTTAGCTCGTTGACCGGTATGGCCACCAGTATGCCGGTGTAAGCCTTTTGAATGGCCTCTATGTCTGCATAACGCTTTTCTTTCATGGGCAAATGCATTTTTCGGAAAATTAAGAAGTCGCACGGTGTGTATAAGGTGATTACGGGGAGTGGTTAATGGTGAAAATGTGATTTTTGGTGGATTTTAAGCGATTTCAAGCTTCCAAAATAACAAGTATCAAAGTCAGCAAAGCTGCTGAGATAGCTAAGAACGTAGGAATCAACTACTAACTAGGAAGATATACATCGGTAGCCAGGCTGCAATTAAAACAACAATATTACGACGCATTATGTGAAAGAATGCTCTTAGAAGCAAGGAAAAAGTAGATGTAGTATCTACCGAAAAGCGGTTACATTTTAACTTGGCTCTAAGGCACACTAAATTCCGAAAAACGAAACCGCTGATGAGATTGTCAAAAGTGCCATTCATCGGTCTACCAAACTAGTACAGTAAAAACGGAGGTCATTAAAAACGATGCACCGAAACTTGCGGAAAATCTGACAGACGGATCATAAGGTCATGCAGGTTGACCAAGATCACCTGCAAAGGAACGGACGGGAAACAAGTAAGATTTGTACATAAACGGTCGCTTTTTCCTATTAATGACAACCTACTGATATCACATGGGAGCCGGATGGGCACAAATAACGACGATACATGCAGTAAGTGCAGGGAAGCAGGCTAGATAGAGACGGTGATGCCTCTTCAGATTCTGTCCAAGCTTAGCTCAACCACGTCTTGGATATCTAAGAGCTCCAGAATTCAAGGAACTAGCTGAAGTATCAAAATTGGATATCAAATCTGTACTAAACTTCGCAAATAGCTTTAACATCCTTAATGATAAATACTGCAGCCCAGTTAAATGGGAATCTCCATTTGGTATTACTAAGGACTAGTAGGTCTTCGTGGCTATATAGAACTAGCAAAATGTTTTCCATTTGACGCAAACTGTTGGTCAGTTACATTTTCAGATTTAGTTTATCAGTTTTGGCAGTTATTGAACAATGAATTTGTCTCAAATTTCTTATTTCTAACCAAATTTCGTGTGCGGATCGTTGCGTATGTCGGCAAAAGCTTACGGTGATGCAGTTTTAACAAAAACTCATGAGGTATAAAGTCTTCAAACATGGTCGGGAGATCGTTGACGACATGTCTCGTTCTGGACGATTTTGACCTTTTCAACTGATGAAAATATTAAAAAGTGAAGAATATGGTGCTTGAAAATCATCAGATAAGTGTTCAAAAGAAGTCAAGAAAGCACGAAATCTCTTGCAAGTCCGTGATTTTGGTGAATATTTTGGGTATGAAACGCGTGTTTGCTCGACGCTTTCGCCAACAGGTTTCTTTGGACATGCTTGATCGTGCGAATTCCGATCCTGCATTCATGGAGACCATTATAACTGCCAATGAGATATTGATTTATGAGTTTCACATGCAAACAACTCAAAAATCATCGGAATGGAGGGGAAAAAATTAGCCGAAACCAAACAAGTAACATCCAAGGTACTCAAAAATCAAGTTGATGCTCACTGGTTTTTTCGACATTCGTGGTTTTGTGCATCATGAACTTGGTCCGAAGGGATAAACGGTCAACGAGAAGTTCTATTTGGCCATATTGAAGCGTTTGCCTGAGAACATTTGTTAAAAACGGCGAAAATTGTGGAAGAATAATTCACGGATTTTACACGATGATAATGCCCTATCGCATCGAGCCATGATTGTGACCGAATTTAAAGCGAAAAATACGATGAATACTATCCATCAACTACTGCATTCACTAGATTTGGCTCAGAGTAATTTTTTTTTTTTTTTTTTTTTTTTGTTTTGTTCTTCAAACTGAAATTGCAGCTCCGTGAAACCCTCAGGTGATCGCAGAGATAAAACAGAATTCGCTGAAAGAGCTAAAGGCTCTCCCTAAAAGTACTTATGAAAAGTGTTTCGATGACTGGACAAATCGTTGGCATTGGCATAAATGTATTTCGTCTAGTGTTGATTATTTTGAAGGCGAAAAAATATATATTGATGGATAATTAACCTATGTAACCTCATTCCTTGTGACCTCCTCATCAAATAATTAGACTGATACAAAAACTTTAAAGAACAAAACTTCTTTCCAAAATGAATAGTAATTAGAAGCCAAAAACAACTTCGATCGATAATGAATATATAAGTAACTAAAATACATATTACATTTAATTACATTCTCCAACAGAGACTCAGAAAGTGTCCGTTACAACTAACATACTCACACCTGCCAAGACAACAACCAAAGAAATTATATAATATAAGCGTAAACGGTCACACGGCGTCAAGCATCATTAACTTCACCACAACATTAATTAACACGCGCTGAGGTCCCACACCTCGATTTTTTACATACATAATGTATGTATATGTATATTTAAAAAAAAAAAACATATACCATACATACATATAGTGGTATGGGTATGTAACCAGCATGTAATGTGCATGTAATTGCTGTTTTGATGTTTCAATTTGCACGCGAGGCTGACAAATATATGCAAGCAATTAGTTTTCCCTTCCGGTCCTACCATATTTGTCTTACTTATACATGCAACAACACATAATAAGGCTAAATTGAAAAATTATAATTTCATATGGTGTAATTTGCAGTACTGTTGCAAGTTGACAGCGCGTAAAATACTCAATCATGTGCGCCACTGCACTTTTTCGCCGACTTGTGGCACTTCTTACTCGGCGCCTTGCCTGCGGCTTGATGAGTTGGTGTCAAAGATTTTGACAGGCTATTGTGGCATAGTGAGCATGCAAATTTCAAGACATAATGTGATAAAAAACAAGTAAGGAAGGGCCAAGCTCGGGTGTCAACGAATATTTTATACTCTCGCATGAAGTGATAATCGAGATTTCAGGCGTGGTTGTGAACCGATTTCACCCATATTTGGTACATGTCATCAGGGTGTTAGGAAATATTATGTACCGAATTTCATTGAAATCGGTAGAGTACTTCCAGAGATATGGTTTTTGGTCCATAAGTGGGCGACGCCACGTCCATTTTCAATTTAAAAAAAAAGCCTGGATGCAGCTTCCTTCTGATATTTCTTCCGTAAAATTTAGTGTTTCTGACATTTTTTGTTAGTCGGTTAACGCACTTTTAGTGATTTTCAACATAGCCTTTGTATGGGAGGTGGGCGTGGTTATTATCCGATTTCTTCCATTTTTGAACTGTATATGGAAATGCCTGAAAGAAACGCCTCTATACAGTTTGGTTGACATAGCTGTAGCAGTTTCCGAGATATGTACAAAAAACTTAGTAGGGGCGGGGCCACGCCCACTTTTCCAAAAAAGTTACGTCCAAATATGCGCCTCCCTAAGGCGATCCTTTATGCCAAATTGCATTTTAATATCTTTATTTATATCTTAGTTATGACACTTTATAGGTTTTCGGTTTCCGCCATTTTGTGGGCGTCGCAGTGGGCCGATTTTGCCCATCTTCGAATTTAACCTTCTTCTGGAGCCAAGAAGTACGTGTACCAAGTTTCATCATGATATCTCAATTTKTACTCAAGTTACAGCTTGCACGGACGGACGGACAGACAGACATCCGGATTTCAACTCTACTCGTCACCCGGATCACTTTGGTATATATAACCCTATATCTGACTCTTTTAGTGTTAGGACTTACAAGCAACTGTTATGTAAACAAAACTATAATACTCTCTTTAGCAACTTTGTTGCGAGAGTATAAAAAGCGCGAAAAAACGTTAACCGGCGCTGCACCGAAGCTGAAATACTCCTCACAAATAAAAAAGTTTCTAAACAAGAATTTGATTTTTGGTTTGGCAGCTATAAGCTATAGTGACACAGCAACAGTACAAAATGTTCTCGTGCCAGTGAGACAAAGAAGTGCTCATACTGTCGAGAATATTGCTGCCGTTAGCACATCAATTGAGGAAGATCCAAATCAGTCTCTTACATGTCATTCTGAGGGGTTGGGCAGCTTTGTGACGTCATTGTGCCGAATTTTATGAAAATATTTTGACCTACATCCTTACATGATCAAACTCATGCCAGAACTGAAGCCGCTTGACCCCCAGAATCGTTGTATATTCGTGAATTGGTCTGAGCAACAACTTGAAAATGATCCAGATTTTCCTGGAGAAGGCAGCAATCCACACGTACTTCATGAGTCACAATTGCATCTCGAAAAAATTACGATTTGGTGGCATTTACGTCATTGGGCCGTACTTGAATCGCTACCGCTGGATGATAACCGAATATTTTTAGCCCGAATTGGATGATTTGAACTTGGATATGTGGTTCCAACAGATCGGCGCCACAAGCCGCACAGCGATTGTCACAATCGATTTATTGAAAACCAAGTTTGGTGAACGTGTTATCTCACGAAATAGCCCGGTCAATTGGCTGTAGCGGTCGTGCGATTTGACTCTTTTCTGTCTATGGTATATGTCAAGTCTATGGTCTATGCCAACAAGCCAACGACGATTGATGAACTTTGTACGAATATCGAATGTGAAATTGCACTAGTATCGGCCGATTTGTGCTTAGAGACAGTCGAAAATTGGGTTCAGCGTCTGGACTTTAGAATCCTGATAGGTCCAATCGAATGAGCTCTTCAGCTCTGTTCGTCCCAAGCCCTTAAACAATCGCTTCCAACACATTTACCTTTAAAGAATTTAGTTGTAGTGAGAATTTATACATTATATTTATGCTAATACCGTTAGAGCTTCCATAAGTTGCATGCAAATTGTATTACCTTCGAGGAAAATTGCATTCCCGTAACCCTCCGTCTTTTTGAATAACTTAACAAACACATAATAGCAACGTAGTAGGTCGGCTGGTTTCCAATTTCCCAGCTGCTTTTCCATTTCCTCTTGCCCTTACACTAACTACATACATTTCATATTATTTCATGAAATCAGAAACTCAATTTATACCTAGGAATTTCTACGGGAAATGACCGTCTAAAATAAAGGAGCAAATGCATTTTGCCTAGCAGTTTGTGTGTTTGCCCCTCTCTCACATTTCCTTCACGGCTTTGAAAAGGAACAGCAACGCAAAAGTATTTCAATTTATTTTGCAAAAGATTTGTTTACATTCACAGATTATTAAATGAGGAAAATGCGATTATGGAACACCAACAGCTTCACCTCACTTTCCGGGTAAGGGCATTTGGGTGGGAGCATGTATTTAGAAATTATGCTCAAATGGTAGGTAAGGCGGTGAACTAACGAACTCACTGGTGTAGACATGACGAATCGACGCTAATATTAATGCAGAGCTTTGTGGGGGCATTAGTAGCATTGTGGCATGCCACAATTGACCATACTGTCCTGCTAACTATGGCTTACTCGCATACAATTTCGGTTATAAAGTAATTATGGGATTTTCATCCCTGTTGCTTTAGAGGATGTAAAACAATTGAAATAAGACTCGAATTGAAAGGGGATCCATTTCGAGGTTCCTTACTGTTATTAAAAAAAAATAAAAACAGAAACTTCAAATTTAATGAGGAATGTTTAATATTATTCGAAAAAACATTTCTTGGCAGTTTTATTTTGAAGATTTTCTCTTTCAAATGTTGGTTGCGACTACGTCTCAGATGATCCATCTGTTCAGTGCAATTTTCGAAGACTCGTTCGAGCATTCCGACTGGTAACTGACGTACGACAAGCGTGATGTTTTGCCCCAATCGAAGCGGAATTTATCGCATAGACTTTAGACTTTACATATCCCTACAGGAAAAAGTAAAAGAGTGTGATATCACTGGATTTTGGTGGCCAATTTACCAGCTCAAAACTTAAAATAATATGTTCACCGAAGAATTCTCTCAATAAATTAAGACGCAGTATCTTATGCCAGCGAAGATGTCCTGCAGGAGACATATCCGATACCTTTTTGAAGCGCAATAAGCAGCCGCTGCTACCGCTGCTACTCCGTTTGATACACTACCCACTCTCACCTTCGGATTTGTGGCCTTATTGCTCTTTTCCTTGTTTACTAACTCGCTAGTATCAATATGCTGCTGGAAGTAGCTTTCATAATAGGTGCAGGAATGTAGAGTAGCCTTGCGGAACGTAATCATGTGTACCTCATCTAGGTGCCCGGTCACAAAGGTATAGCCGGCAACAAACTGGCTGATAAGCTCGCCTGCTCCGCAGCAACCACTAACATGTCAGGACCTGATCTGTTTCACCGGATTGGGTCGCCATACCATAAAGGAGTTGCTCCGCAAGGAAAAAGGAGTAGACAGAGAGAAGAATTGGCAACAACTACGTGGCATTCGGCGTGCCAAGTTGCTAATGGGCGACCTCAGCAGGCTTAAATATGCAATCAAACTGCCTAGAGAAAAAACTCAGACTACTAGTCATATTTTACACTAGCCACTGCAAGCTGAAGAAGCACCTAAAATGTCGGCAGAAAACCTCAAACACCAGAACATCTGCTAATTGATTGCACAGCAGCAGTCATTGGATTCATGTTTCCAAATTTGGATAAATTTACTTTGCTAGCACTCAGCAGAATATTGCACTTTATCAATATGCTGGGACTAGGTGGGTCTTTGTGATAGACCTGAGGTCTCGATGCATTCTTCGTTTATCAATCAATCTCAATACCTAAATCCTGGATCAGAGCTGCATAGTGCTGGGTTTTTCTGCGAACATACCAACAAGGAATATGTGGACTTGGTGAAGCCGCTAGTGAAGCGACACTGTAAGTTTTTTTCGGTTGGGTCGAATCTCTGAGAACACGTCGCAAGAGTTTTCTGTCAGGAGCCTTTTCTGTTGTTAGCTCTATATCAAATTTAACTACGGGCTGCCAAATCTCTGTAGCGTATTCACGCAGAAATGGCTACAATGGCTAGGTGCACTGCTTCGAAGTGTAATTTCGTTCAGAGAGGTGAGTAGTCATTCCGATAGCAGAGCGGCAGCTCTGGTCTTGCGTTAGCTGATAGTGTGCAGAAGATTAGTCAACGACTGTTTAACCTCACTAGTAATATCATCAAGTTACTGCATTATCGAGACTTGTTTGAGCACTTGTTCATAATTCTTACGTAAAACTCATCAGACTGGTAACGAAACTGACGTCTTACACCGGCTCTGTGGAACCCGTGTGAGCTTTCTGAGTGTTGGTTAGCTACCAGTTTCTGTGCTACAGCGAAATTATTCCGGCCTAGAGTGGAATGTGTAGGCTCCATTAGGGCATAATAGACCGTACGTCGCAGAGCAAAACCTCAAGTTTACTATCTTAGAGTTAAATTACATAACTTGCTTTTAACAAGGTGCAGCTTGCTTCAATGATAGTAGTTTGTATGGCGGTATGGTGATATTGGTGTTCATACAATTATAGAAGCTGTATGACGTGAGGTCGAAACTTTTTGCACCACTGTCCGGTTTGTGACATGACTAAAGTCGACATGCCTTCTACGAATCAGGCGAATTCATATTGGTTGCAAAATATTTTTCCAACTTCAAGGCACTTTGTCGATAAACGGAAGTCTTTTTGATCCACACCTAGGAATTTTAGGCGTTCCAGCAAATAAATTTCCTTACTGAGCCAGTCAAAGGGATTAAGGAGAATATAACGCTAATATTGGCTGAATTATCGACTGAATGTCTTACAGTTACTAAATTTTAATTACATATAATTTAGTTCAACTTTAAGGATAATCATAACATTTGCCTTGCTCGTATTGCCAGTAGTAGAAATCAACAACAATGGCAACACGCTGCAAACACTTGTTAATGCAAGCACCCATAAAAGGCCCGAATTGGGAGCCACATCAAGTCGTTATTGTTATCGCTGAATCGTCTGTCGGCAACATTAAAACATTTATTGCAAGTAGACACCAAATCGTATAAAGTTGCAGGGTGAATTGTCAACTACTTGCCCCCAACCGCCAACCACAACGCATGCGATGTTTCCCGAATTAAGCAGGGCGCTTAAGAAATATTACGACGGCGAAAAGATGAATGTTATGACACCAACACCATTAGCTGAGGCGGCCATTAAACTGGCAACAGCAACAATTTCAATGTTGCTGCCGGACGCCACTTGTCATTTTGGCGGTCATCACCACCACCAAGTGGCTGTGGCGAATGAGTCATTCCCGACATTGCCACACTCACTAACGGCGCGTGCATAGCAATGCTGAAGCGCTGAAGTGATGTGTGCTGTAGAGAAGCGAGCCAGAACGCCAAAAATGTTTGCCATGTACTCGCACATAAAACCACTTTCGACTGCCGGAAAGAAGTGGCAACAATCTTAGCCAAACATATGCATTGTTTTTGTCATGTTTACTAAGTGCGAACGCATACGAAATGCTTAACCATTTTCTCGTCTTTGATGGCTTAGTTAAACTTGATGCTGTATGCAAGCAGCAAAGCCATTTAGTTGTGCATGTGAGATGATTGGTGGTGCTGATGGCGGTGGTCCGATTGTGTCGCCCACTTGATTTACTCCTCGCTTCACTTATTTATGCGCCCCAAACGATGCGTGTACGCGTCTGGACGGCGCATTTCAGGCATTGTCTGTACTCGTGGCTCAGCTGAGTTTCGACTTTCGTTGTGTGCTGCTCTATGTGTTCCTATGACAATTGCTCGTAAATTTAACTTTAATTACAACAGTGGCAGAAATTGCGTAGTGAATGGAAAATGTAATAAGTTGACGCGTTTGTTTTATGACTTCCGCGATTGGCAGACATTTTAACTTTTTAACGAGATGGTAGAAGATACTCGGGTAACTCCAAGCAACAAACTTAAAGCGAAACTCAGAAGTGTTAACATTGTTAGAGGAAATAGAAAATGTATCTGTATTGTAGATACGATTCGAACATTTGCAAATAATTTAAACATTTAGAATGTTTTTGCCAAGTGGGAAAGCTCTATTAAATGGACGCTCTATTACGCGGGGAACTCTATTAACAGTGCTATTAGCCGATCCCAAAAATTTTTGATGTTTATTAAGAACAATCTATTAAGCAGACAAGACTATTAATCGGACACACCTACCAAGCTACGACTCTGGACTAGGAAAAATGTCAATAGTATAAAATTTTTGTATCCATAATATTAGGAAAGAAGTAATCAAGGAAAAACAGACTAACAGCAATAAGACCAGAACTAGTACTCATGTTTCGTATTCGTATCATTAAAAAGGTAAGGCTGAAGAAAATACTTGCCGTCTCTTATGATGGATAAAGCGCCAATCTGAACCAGACAAACTTAAGTAAATCAGACTACATTTTAACATGGTTAGATTTCAATAGTAACTTTCAAGTGAGGTTAAATTCTAGATTTGAATGGAGTAGAGTTTTTGTAAGTGATGTGAAAGCTACATCTATTTATAGCGATTGGTCCTAAATGGGCTGCTGAGTATGGACAGTGCTATACTCCATTTTTTTTTTTTTTTTGTTTTTTTTTTTTTTTTGATGTCTCTCTTTCTAACCGTCTACCAAATGCGGTTAGCCAGCTTCCAAGCGTAAGTACTAGGTATAAAGAAGACCAGTGGATTTCTGTTGAATAACCACGAAAGAATCAGAAAGCAACTATATATAGGGATATCCAGATGACATTGCTGGCATTGTCGACGGCAAAGATTAATTTCAGTGTTGTAAACAATTGCAGGAAGGCTTTAAGCTCACTTGCATATAATTTCGGTTTCCGGTCACAGGTACGTTATCGGCAATGAAAAGGCAGACGAGTTGGCAAAGATAGGAGCCTCTTTAGACAAATCCTAGGCCGAGTTAATAAAATGCCCACTGTCAACGGTTAAGAGGGAACAAATATAAAAATAAATAACAAAGCAGAAATGGTCCAAGTATGAGAGGAATAGTGCCAAGGACTAAAATAAGTAATGAATAACATCTAAAATAGTATATGCAAACTTACACCCACATAACGGGGCACTGATCTTTTGGTGATCATGAACTAATAGCGGTGTGCTTTATAACAATATTTGAGGCAGCTTCAAACTAGAATGGAATACAAAACTCTCTTCCACTTACTGTGGATGCTGAGCTCTAGCAAAAATCTGTCACAAAATACTTGGAAACCATCAGGCACCAAACAATGAAATCGTTAGGAGAGCTAAATTAGATAGGTGATCTCCAATATGACCAGTTCAATATAGTTGGCGCTCAAGATGACTACTGGTCTGAGTTCCCAGATGTTTAAGCCTTGATCTCGCAAAGACGGGACAATCAAGATGAAAGTGTGGAAATGTGGAAATGTTTCTTCCTCGCCTTTTTTGATATACATAGCTTCTACAAATGCCATCCAGTAAAATTCTTAACCTTGCCGCGGGACCATTGATATGACATTGAAAACTTAGAACGCTACAACGAGAAAATAGTTAGGACGAAATGCTCACTACAACCGTTACGAACCACTTTGGGCCAAAAGGATCTTGCGATAGCACAAGAACTAATGATATCGCAGCGCTGGCCAGACTCCTGCCAAGTTCAACCATCTAGTAGCAAAACGAGAGAACAGAGGTGATAGCTCGTCGGCTTTGCAATCACCTGCGATTCCACTGTAGCCTGATAGTATTAGCCTTATCACAAAGTGAGACTCTGCCGTTGATATCAATATTAGACAATCCATTGCACAAAAGTCCTCATACACCAGGGAATCGATAAAAATTTAGTATGAACTCCAATACAGGATCTCTTACGATTTACCCTGCGTTTGCCGTGCTTAGGTAACGTTGTACTGGTCACCTGCCATGCCAAATTTAGATATGCTTTGCAATGCCAGATGGAGGTTCAATTTAATTTCAGCTGATGTATTAGTTTTACAGTATGTCAACGCTTTTTAAGCTTTTTTTAAGAGTGACTTACTAATATCTAATCTTGTCCTTAATATAGTTCTTTGAATTGCTAAGCTCTTAGATATTTTAGACAAGTTATAGATAATGCTGGGCAAAGGAATAAGAAGTGTTCCAGCTTCACTCTCATCCCTTCATCTATGCACTTTCTGCATGTATCGTCGTTACTTCCGTCCACTCGGCTCGTATTCAAGGCCGTTGTGACCTGTCGTTAATACAATAACCGTCCTGCACTTTTTGAGAAACCATGTGGCTTAAAAACATGCGTGTTTTTTTCGAGACTTACAGCATTTCTCGACGATTCTGTATGTCTTTAAAGCATTCTATATCACCCTAATACGTCTGTCAGCCTTTTCGGAAAGTTCATTGTATATTGTTTTTGGTAACTTCAGTATGCCTGTATTTGTGCAGTAGGCAGAAGGATGAAACTTTTAGCAATCTCTTCGGTTATTTCGTTTCCCTGGAATTCCTTTGTGGCCTGAAACCCAGTATAAAGTGATGATTCTATTCGTTCCCACTCCTCACACGTAAGGAGACTTAAAAGCCTAATCTGCTAAGATCTTCAGCCTTGTAGTTTCTTGCAATAACGCTAAGGTCAGGCACCCAAACCAACCGCAGCATGAAGTAGCTCGATGCCACAGATAGTGAGTCTAGACATTATTTTAACAGTTTTGAGAGTACTTTCACCAAACTAACCGACCAAGTGGTTAGCAAATTTGAATACATACTTTTTCATATGAATTTATTTCAGTATTATATATTTGAAAACCATTTGGTTTGTATGTGAATCATGTGAATTTTTCATTTCAGTACAACAAGCGCCTAAAGTCAACAATGTCACATGCAAATTTTGCATACATGCAACAGTTGCATGCCACAATGCAATGGTAGCAGACGACGAAATCTTTTTGCCATAATAAAATCAAATTCTGTGGCATTTTACGACAGTTGCAATTCGCGATGAGAACCGCACAAACCGTGGGAATGCTTGAAAGCGCTGCATTTATGGTATTACAAATCCTCAGCGCTTGGCCTTGTCAAGCGCTCATGAACGAGCATCAGGAGACAGCCAATAGTGTGATATTTCTACGTCCACAAGCCGAACTGGATGCGGAACCATGGCTCTCGGGTGTACAGTGTCTAGAAGCGTACATGAAGATAACTTTTATAAGTCGAGCGCGCCTAACGCGTGCCTATAACGTGCTCATAACGAACAGCTACAACATATCTTCGCCCGGCTTGGAGATACAGGACGGCATCACGAAACTATTGAATGAAGTTATTAGGCAAAGTAATGAACGGGGTCGCCGTTTCTACCAGCTGCGCGCTGTATACGACAACAATAAATACGTGAAAGTGAAAATCAGCGACAGCGCCGTCATTCCCACTGATTACTACATCATTATCGTGGACAGCGTGGACTTACTGCGGCAGCTCATGAGGGATTACATTAGTAGAATGAATTCATGGAATCCAGGCGCACGTTTCCTTTTACTGTACAATAATTCAACACGACGAGACAGTGAGCATGCGGTGGCAATGGAACTATTCACACTTTTACAAAAACAATATTATGTGCATCAAATCGCATTGTTATATGCTACAACTGATCTCAACTACTCGTTTTCGGTAATGGACTATTACAACCATGAGAACTGTCGGACGATTCGTGTGTCCAAAATAGGCGAATGCACGAATGGTGTGCCACAACCGAGCACAGCGGAGGTAAAGAGAAGGTTGCGCAAGTTCGAGCGCGAAATCGAGATAAAAAACTGCACGTTTCTAATGTGTGCGGCCATTGCAGCGCCGTTTGTGGAAAAGAACTGTCACACGGGCATTGAGTTGCGTATTATAACCTTCATGCGCAATCGTCTTAAATTCAAAGTAAGTTTTATCGATAAATAAAAAACATCCGCATAAAGTACTTGATGGATCAATTTGTAGATAGCTATCCTATGTCCTATAGTGGACGGAACTGTACAACTTTCGCAAAATCTAAAGATATCTTGTCATCTAAAAAAGTTTTCCATACAAAGACTTGGTGATAATCGATCAACTTGTCTGACAGATTATGCTATAGTGGTCCGATATCGGTTAGCAATTACGACAAATGAGCAGCTTCTTGGAGAGAAGAAAAAGGTTGAAAAATTTCAAATCAATATCTCAGAAACTGTAGGTCTAGAAACAGCAGGGTAGGTTTCAGCTTCCTTAAGTATATGTCGCTAATGCCTATATGCGATACAAACTCAATCGAAGAAACGAAGTTTTCTACGAGGTTCTCATATTCTGTTTCTGAGGGTATGATAAGTTGTAAGCCGATTTGGTGGGTTTTGAGATCATAGCTGACACACCTGAAAGTACAATTTGTAAATAGTTTAACCGATATTGTTATTGGGGCTTGCCTTTTCAAGAGTCTTTTTGTATCTTCGGTTTTAGTCGGTACGCCCATTTTAAAACTGTGGCGTAGGAATGTTAGAGAATATTCTGAGCGAAATTTTGTTCAACTGGATTAGGGACTTGGTGAGATTTAAGATATTAACCAAGACTAAGACAAGTTTATATAACTGTACCAAGTTCCACAGGCCGCCAGGTGGACGCACGTATGGAGTTCAGCTCCTCCTGCGACCCTGATCAGTTCCATGAAATACTTCGTTTAAGTTAGCTCATTTATACAGTCATGAGAAAAAATATAGTTCTTTTATTTTTTATTTTACTTGTAGATCAAGCAATCATGTAAGCGTGATAACCGAGGAGTACGCGAGGAAAATGGCACATGGACTGGCCTACTTGGCAAGCTGATCGACCGCAACTGTGATTTCATATTGGGTGGCTTCTATCCAGACAACGAAGTTAATGAAGACTTTTGGGCTTCCACTTGCTACCTCTCAGATAGTTACACTTGGTACGTAAAGCTGGCTGACCGCAGACCAGCATGGATTGCACTCTATCAAATTTTCCAAGACGAAACATGGATGTGTTTCTTGGCACTGTTCTTACTTACTTCGCTATTTTGGTATTTCTTTGTCAATATATTACCGGAACCGTTAGATCACAAAGACTTGTCGTTAGCTGGTATAAATGCCATGGCGGTCTCCATCTGTGTGGCGGTTGAAGAGCGTCCTGAGTGTTACGCTTCACGTATTTTCTTTCTCGCCTTGACCTTTTATGGTATGAATGTTGTTGCCGTCTACACATCCCGGCTGATTTCTGTATTCACCGATCCTGGCTTCATGCACCAAATAGACACTCTCAAAGAAGTAATCGAAGCTGATATACCGTTTGGCGGGCCGGATGAGAACCAGGACTGGTTTGAAAATGATGAGGATATGTGGATCTTCGAAAAATACAACGATTCCAGTTTATTCATACCGAATTCAGTAAATCTTCGTGCCGTAAAAAATGGCAAGCGTGTGCTATTGGCAAGCCGCATGTATGTGTTGCAAGACAGGCTGTCCGATCAGATTTTCGCATTCCCACAAAATGTTTTCTCGACACCACTACAAATCATAACAAAGGCTGGCTTTCCGTTGATACCGGATTTTAATTGGCTAATTGGCGCTATGCGTGATCACGGTATATTTCAGAAGATTGAACAAGATTTTCAGTACAACAACACGTACCTGAATAGAATATCGCGCATGCGTCCGGATTTTAAAAGTAAAATTGAGAAAATGTTACGTCGTCTTTATTTAGCAATATACCTAAAATGTCTTACATTCCAGAGTCCACGATTGTTCTTACCACCGATCATCTGAAAGGACCCTTCGCCATATTAATTATAGGCATTGTGGGTGGCATAATTTTATTTATATCTGAACTCATTTATTACCGGATAACTAAAACTTGCTTGAATAAGAATACTACGACGAAGCAGTCCAAGAAAGCGTCGAAATTAAAGCGGTCTAAGTGTACAAAAAAATCTTCAAAAATTAAAACTAGACCTCCGAGTACTTGGTGGCCATTGAAGAAACGTTTTAGCAAGACAAGGAAAAATAGCGCAAATAGACAGCAAGGAAAGATCAAATCCAATAATATTCGACAAATTGGTGAGCAAACTTACGAAGTGAATGCTGTAAGGGATATTCGATTTACTCCGATCAAACGGAGATATGTCGACTTGCGTGTCTTCTATTAATTTTTAAAAAATGTTAAATACAGTTTCAGTTTTAAAATGATACATGAGTGTAAGTTTTAGTTGGAGGTCTGAGTGGTTGCTTGCAATAAAAATTAAAAAAACTAAGTTGCTGAATTGATATTTTTATCCTCTCGCAACAAAGTTGCTAAAGAGAGTATTATAGTTTTGTTCACATAACGGTTGTTTGTAAATCCTAAAACTAAAAGAGTCAGATATAGGGTTATGTATACCAAAGTGATCAGGGTGACGAGTAGAGTTGAAATCCGGATGTCTGTCTGTCCGTCCGTCCGTGCAAGCTGTAACGTGAGTAAAAATTGAGATATCATAATGTGAAACTTGGTGTACGTATTTCTTGGCTTCATAAGAAGGTTAAGTTCGAAGATGGGCGAAATCGGCCCACTGCCACGCCCACAAAATGGCGGAAACCGAAAACCTATAAAGTGTCATAACTAAGCCATAAATAAAGATATTAAAATGAAATTTGGCACAAWGGATCGCCTTAGGGAGAGGCATATTTGGACGTAATTTTTTTGGAAAAGTGGGCGTGGCCCCGCCTCCTACTAACTTTTTTGTACATATCTCGGAAACTACTATAGCTATGTCAACCAAACTGTATAGAGTCGTTTCACTTAGGCATTTCCATATACAGTTCAAAAATGGGAGAAATCGGACAATAACCACGCCCACCTCCCATACAAAGGTTATGTTGAAAATCACTAAAAGTGCGTTAACCGAGTAACAAAAAACGTCAGAAACACTAAATTTTACGGAAGAACTGTTAGAAGGAAGCTGCATCCAGGCTTTTTATAAAAATTGAAAATGGGAGCGGCGTCGCCCCCTTATGGACCAAAAACCATATCTCAGGAAGTACTTAACCGATTTCAATGAAATTCGGTATATAATATTTTCTTAATACCTTGATGACATGTACCAAATATGGATGAAATCGGTTCACAACTACGTCTGAAATCTCGATTATTACTTTATCATGCGAGAGTATTAAATGTTCGGCGACACCCGAACTTAGCCCTTCCTTACTTTTTTTGTCTTTCTCAGATGTACAGCCGACTAGCGACTTGAGGATTTTGTAGCGGCTCTGTACGTTGGCAAAAATCGTAGTTGTGTGAGGAGTGATGGAGCACAGGCTGTCAAATCTGTCACCAAAAATTTTGGGGTTTTCGAATGTCGAAATTTTCACGCCATCGACTGCATAAAATCTGTACTCCTTCGTCCAGCTTTCACTGGTCGCTATGGATTTAGTTGGGAAGAGTGTTAGGTTCCGTGAAGCGAGGAAGCGAGAAAGATCGGATAGATATCCGCTTACGTTTGAGCACATGCCATCGATTCCATTGCCCGACGTCATTACCGTGCAATCATCAGCGTACGAGGTGATAGAACTTCCTCTAGTAGTTGAGGGAGTTTCGAGATGCAGAAGTTAAACAGCAACGCAGAGAGAGCATCACCCTGCAGAACGCCCAGCTTAACTCTTCTAAATTTGGAATTTTTTAGCTCGAAATAGTACGAATTATTGACGACTGCTCAGGTAGTTCATAATCCACTTCTTCAGTCCTGCAGGGATCGTAGATTTTTCGATTTACTCAAGTGGCGTTATTTATTGACTTTGTTAAAGGCTTTTGACAAGTCCAACGCTACAAGGATCGTCCTTTCGCAAGGTGGTTTTTGGTTGAGGCCGTGAACTATTTGAACGTTTATCACGCTAAGCGCTGTGTATTTTTTGAAAGCCATGCTGGTGGCTTACTAGGTTCATTTGCTGCTTGAAAGTCAGCAGTAGCAATCCCCACAACAATCAGTTCTACCGGATTTTATCCAGCCATCGGCTGTACTTTCGGTGATTTAACCTCATTTGGATCGGTAAGTTTAAGTGAAGGTAAAAGCGATGATGTCGCTTAACTAAATTCCGCAAGGAAACAGAAGGTCGGTCAAAGCCAGAAAAACCTGAGACGGTGCCAAAGCAACAGTACTCAATCGTTTGAGATGGCGCTCCAGAGACGAAAACAATAATTTTTTCAGTCTACCAGGAGCGGTTCGTCAGCTAGCGCCATAGATCGTAAGATGCCCAATGGAGATCCAACTGGGTCGCATTCCGAACGAGTCTGATGATGAAGTTCACTACAGCGGTCCGATAGCCTAAAGCTAAAATTGTCGGAGGGTTCCATGCAAGAAACTCTCCTTCCAAACCTCCCTCCCTCCTTCGACCCATTAAACATAGCGATAATCTCCAGAACCATTACAATAGCATATAGATGCCATACAAACTTAAAGAACAAACCCAAATTATTGTGCAGGTATCCTCATGACATTTGGCAAAGATTATTTTCCAAACATTTTGTTCAGATCGGTCGTCGTATCCATAGATACAACTGAGCAGAGGTGATTTGCTTTGCTATGCCTTACAACTATTGCTTTTAATCCATAAATTCCACAAAATAGACAGTACTCTGCTCATACTTCCTAGAAATTAATGAGGTTGAGAAGAAAAGGTTAAAATTTTTTCGCAATGAAAGCATAAGTGGAATTACGCTTACATATTTACACAACCGAAACGCTTTAAGAGACCCTCCCTATGTTTATCACCACAATATTTTCGCATATTGCATATTGATGTCGAGATAAGGAATCTGAAATCTCGACAAATAACAACGCTTATCAAATAGTCCATCTAGATGTAGCAACTTTCAAATAACCTCAACAGTGTCAATGCGTAAAATTTATCTCTAACTGCAGCACATTACTTCCTTACTTCCTTCCCGGTCGACCATCACGTCTACGTCATCGCGTGCCAAATACGTATTTGCGTTATGAGGAGCAGTTTCGTGTGTCCTCGAATATGGCTGGTGCAATATTTGGCAAAATGGCAAAATGTTTTTACTATCGGCGCTATGGTAATGTACAAAAAAAAGAGCTAATATCAAGTAACTGCCGTAAAAGCAATGCAACCAGCGGCAAAAGCAGCGCCAAGAGCCTAATTCGAGCAGAAAAACGTTTACTCAGTGCAACACTTTCCACAATCACGCTTCACATAAAAAAAAACTTAAAAAAAAAACGAAACTATTTTAGATGTAATTGTACTTACATGACCCAGAATTTGTAGAGAACTGTAATAACCTAGGTAATTATCTGGTACAGTTATATTTTTATGTCTCGTAATACAATTTCTATTAAATTGTTAAAACTAAGCTTAGATACATGCTGATTTTTGCACACTTCTTCTTTATTGGCGTAGACACCGCTTACGCGCTTATTGCCGAGCTTACAACAGCGCGCCGGTCGTGCTTCCTTTACACAGTTTGACGCCAATTCCAAGTGTAACCATTGTCCTTCTCCACATGGGCTTTCTAATGGAAGATCTTCCTCTTCCTCTGGCTTCGCGGTTCAGCTTTGCAGCTCGAATTATTTTCTCCATTACTACAACTTAGAGTGTGCCATCCGTATTAAGGATGCACAATATGTTAATTGATTTTCGATTTATGTATTAATATATATATGTACGAACTCCAAACAATGGAGGAAGTTGGATTCTCATAACACAAATGCCTGTACCTCATGGAGAATATTATCTGCATTTGAAATGTATTTGCAGCCGAAAGATCCGCATCCTACGTGTACGTCAGCCATATCCTTCCCACTCCACAACTCAGATCGGATAAGGTCAAGAGGATCGAAACGAATGCATATTTTGATCATATAATTTCTTAGTAACCATTTTAAATTTGTCATTATAACTAATCTACACAGCTTATTTCGAGCTTTTGTGAAAGGGGACCATAAAAATTAATCCCACTTTTTCATAAGGGGTTAGAGACCTCACATACAGAGTTTTGATACAAACAAAAATTATTATGTATGTTTACCATGAAAACTACATATGTAAATACCTCAAATACATGCATATTCATATAATAAAATCTACCAATCGATCTCTCTGACACTTCACAACCAAACCTAAAGATTTTGTAAACAAAACATAAAACCTAATTTTACGACTTCATTAGTAATAAACGCAGTTCGATCGGCAGAGCTCTGGACTGCAATGACATGCTCATTCATGCCACTCGTACAAGTCACTCGAACAGTAAGTTGATCGTCAGCTTTGACGTACCCAAGTTCGCACAGAAGCGGTCCGCTGTCCGTACACTTTTATGTTTGTTGTTATTGATCGGTTCTGATTTAATGGCAGAAAATCGTGTCATTTTGCGCGGCAAATTTTCCATCATCTTGAACGTGTTGTACAGTTGTATACATATATAAAATGCAACTGTTCGGTAGTTATATAGTATGTCCGTATGTGCATGTGTTTAGACGATCCTCAAGTTCAGCCGTCTGTGTTTCTTCTACGCTGGTTATGCTAAAGATAAATAATGATAAAAGGCTATAGCAACAGCACTATTAACAGTGCAATACGAATGTTGGCAAACAGATGCTTATTTATAATGGCGGTTTGTAAACATTTTCGGCAATTACACAGATTATGTATGTATACTAAACAACAGAGCAGTTAAAGCAGCCTCTTCCAGCCTTGAAAAAGAAGTAAACGGGGTTGGTCTTGTGGTGAACGAGAACAAGACAATGCAACCAGAGGCCATGCATAAAGAATCCTCGCGTTTCGGGAACTACGTCACTGTTGGCAGCAACTTGAAAAAAGTGATGATTAGGATATTTCTTAGAACCAGTATAAATTACTATAATAATCTTAGCCTTGTGCTCCTTTTGGGATCTGTAGAAAATTGTGAAGCAGATCTCTCTTGTTGTACAACAATTACGCTCTATAAGTTTCACATTATTTCCGTCCTAGGATATCCTATTATACTTCACAGCAACATGTACGATGATGAGCCTAGTAGATGCGAAAGCACTTGGAGCATTCAAGAGAACCATTCTCCGCAAGATCTTAATAGCCGTCCATGTGAGCGATGAATATCGAAGAATCACAAACTTTATGAGCTCAACGGTGACATGAGTGAAGCTCATACAAATGCAACGAATGCGCTGATTAGGCTCTGTCGTATTGAAGATGATGCTCCATTGGAAAGCTTCTTCGATTACAGACCCGTGGGGGGACAACGGAAAGAAGGGCGCAAAAGCATTAAATACAAATACTAAGTGAAAACCGATCTCTCTGCTGCGTGACCTCACAAAAGATAGAGGCAACTGGCGAAATTTTGTGTTCTCGACCCAGACCGACCCACGAAAGAAGAATAGAAGAAGGAGTTTACAGTCGTAATACTAGGATATGAAGGTCAGTGGTTAAAATGTATCAATAAAGTAATATAAGGCAAAAAACCGTTTAGTATCATTCAAGTAAGGCTAGATACAAAAGGAAGCTCGACGTATGAATGCCACACGATTAAACTCAAAACAAACCTCATGGGTCGATTTTCGATTGAAGCGAAGAATGACGAAAAGTGAGTCACTTACAGTTACATAAAACGATAGCGGTATTAGACAAATCAGGGTGAGGCGGTAAAAGTGGTAGTCAAGCCAGAGTTGAAGATCAGAAGGATTGATTGATTCAATTAGACCCGGAAGCGGTCAGCTTAGTCCAACATCAGTCCATTCTTCATAAAAAAGCTAGGCCCATATCGATTGTGACTCGCCAGACGCTACTAGAGCTCTCATGTAACCACCTTTTAATCCAGAACTGTATCTAATACACATAGTTTATATTTTCACATTTTGAAGAAGATATATTAGGTATAGTTGAATTAGTTCTCAGTTTTTCAGACATCGATTTGAAATTTTCATCACGTCCTATCTCTCCATATATCAGTAGCTTTATATCAATACCAGCTTCTGACTTTCTGACTTTTGCAGTATTTTCCAATTCGACGTTGAAACCGTTAAGGTAGCAGTAATTTTACCGCTACTGAGTGTAGCCTCCTTCCAGGGAAGTGGCCATCCACTCAGCAAAGCGTCGATGCTAGCCTTGAATTCACTAACTGTGCGTTCAGGATTGGTGAAGAAGTGTATAACCACGCTAACAATAGCATCGAGTGTTTCTAAGATAAGACGGGTATGGGTGCCAGGCTTTATTATAAAGGTGATGAGCTAACAAGGAAATGCACACCAGAATCGTTTTCGGTATAACTGGAGCGGGGCGGTGCTCTCGTATTCTTTTTTCTTCTATCTACAAGATAGCTGGCTTTCGCGAAAGCTTGGAGAGTGTTGTGTCACCATCGGTACTTGAGCTGTCGCAAAAGCCTTTTGGCCCAAGATCAGACGCAAAAGATCTTGTGACCACTTTGCCTTCAACAAGATAAGCCTCTCCCTAGTTGTGGCGCTTTTAAGGAACCATTGCCATATTGACGTTCATGTTGTAAGGCTGGGAATCTTACCAGACGCCATTTACAAAAGCTGTGTGGAAGAAGATACGGTGGAAACAACTCAACACCTCAAGCCTTGACTGTCCCGTGTTTGGGATATCAAGACCTAAATACCTGGCCTTATTTATAAGTTCGAACAGGAGTTCTTCTTTTCTATGGCGTCATAAAGTAGGAGTCCACATGCGATCTTTCTAAATCAGCCATCTAACTTTCCTAACTTATCCTTCCTCCCCAAGAAGCCGTTTATTTGTTTGCTGCCATACAAACTGAACGATCTGAATTAAGTGGTTGCCAATGTACCACGAATCTCTTAAACTACTGTTTGCCGTATTATATTTACTTGCACATACAAATGTATGTTCGCATAAAAAATCGTTTATACATATGTACATATATGTTTACATATGGATGTTGCAACATCGCGTAAAATGTTGTTGCTTTGGTGTTAATGTTGTTGTGTGTAATTTGAGCCGCTACAAATTCGTACACGCGGCAGAATTCTATTTGCATAAAAATCACTACCAGAATTATGTTTCATATTTAACGCTCCAGCAGCAAACATAAGCAGCGCGAACATACATAAGTACATGTATGTATGTAGAAATGTGTATGCTGGTGCGTTGGCACATATTTTTCATTTTTTATATTTTTTTTTATTTTGTTTTTTTATTATTTTGTTTTGACTAATTAAACGTCTGAACTCTTTTGTGCAATATTTATTTATATAATTCCAGGAATCGATTCATCGCTAATGGTTGTTGTTGTTCTGCCGTTACGCTGCTGCCGCGAGGCACATAAGACTTGCGAACACCCCAAGGAGCTGGGTTGTTGGAGTAAAACTGTTTAGCCAGGAATACAGCGACGCAGCCAAGCAGCAGCGGCAATCAGCGCGCTTTCCACAGTCCAAATAGTCGTATTTAATGTATATATGTATATATGGTGTGTACACATATACAAATGTGTGCATATATGTATAATACATTTTATGTATGTATATTTGTACACGCTCTAGCGATTGCGTTTAGCAAAGTGCGAACACAGCAAACGCGGAAATTGCCGTTGGCCAAACAAAGTATTTACATGTGATGCACATGTTTCGCCACCTCACCGCCCTCCGCCTGCCGCCTGCCGCGCACAAATAGCAAAACATCAAAAGCGCTTGCATTCCGTTCAAATGCGTCGCATTGTATTTTATTTTCGTATCATTAGTTGTGAAATTTATTTTAATACTCTGCATGGTGTGTGTGCGTGTGCAGCACCACCTTATGGGCCAGTTAGTGTGAGCTTTTTTTCAACTCTTTCATTGGGCATTGCTTTCGTTTTTATACACACGCAACATGTTGCCACAGTGTATGATAATTCTGTGCACCATCATCAGGCATCAGAGAGTCGGTTATTATTGGCGCGATAACGGTCAACATTGACGGGTGCGTTCCCACCGGCATCATTTTTGTAGAAATATGGAACGATGATTGCACCGGCTTACAAACCACACCAAAACGTTGTTTTTTCTGGCGGTAGTGGCAGCCCTTGAATCTCTTCAGGTTTCACTTTGCCTCAAATGCGGCAATTTTTCTTATTTGCATATCCTTTGAACCAGAAATGAGCCTCATCGCTGAACAAAATCGAAACAAGCTCGAAAACTACGGATCCTTTTTAGTACATTTCAAAAGCTCATAGAGCAAAGCGATCGCGCTTGGAAAGTTGGAGCACCTTCAGTTCAGATAACTCGCGTGAGGCACTCAACTAATTTATAAAAATTCGGTCATAGCATTATACTGACATTGTTATTTTATACATAGTGTGATAATGGGCAAAATCCAAATTCAGTCACGCCTACTTGCCATATAACCAAGTTTTAGATTCGTTCAAATGCCTTTATTGTACAGGCGAAAAATCAAAGGCCAGTTAAGTTATCGCAAGAAAACTTTGTACAAAGAGTACCCTGGAGATACGAAATCTAACGTGTCAAAATTATCGAAATTGTGCAATAACTTATCAAGCGCCCTGATATCGAATATGAGGACTTGAAAGCCCAAACCAGACTTTTTGCCTAAAAATAAGTACAGAATAGGTCAATCTCTAAGATAGAGCAATGAAACTTAAAATAAGGAATTCTTGCTTGAAAATCGACGTT